ATATGTCTGCCTAAGCTCTCAGAATATTAGGTTCTTTTTTGTGTCGCCCCATTCGGGTGAATACCGAGAGTGAAACTTGCATGTATGTGGAGCCAAACTGGGCTAAAGTTGACCACCGACGCTTTGCTCCAGGGGCGTTAAACACAACAACAGAAGCCAATCACATTTCCTCAATCTGACAAAAAAAAAAAAAAAATGAAAGTGTTCTTTCAGGAAAGTGAACCGACTGACTTTTTCAAGAATGGCCTGCCACCACCTTCCTGTGAGACATTTTTAAAATAGCTCTCAAAGCAAGCACGTATACCAACGCCCAAACACAGGATGCACAATCGAAAAACTACGTTATGAAATGCTGGTACAGTTGGAAACGATCGCAAACCTAAATTTGATAGCAAGGCTATTATTTGCTCTAAATGAATGATAGTTCAGGATTCCGATAAAGGAGCGAGAAGGCAGTTACCATCTCACCTGGACTATATAACTCCCCCGGCGTATTCAGGGACAGAAATCTAGATTAGTTTGTCCCCATAGGCTGAAGCTTAAAGCCGCTCCAAGAGAAACTGAGATGAAAGCAAATTTCTGCCATCTTAAAACAGATTTCAGGCTTATATATAGTGTATATAGGGTTTCCAAAAAAAAGTATTTGTCCAATATAAAAGTAGAGTGGTGTATATTTTTTTCATATACTCCCTTACTTTTCATTGAGCTGATCAGAATCTTTAGCTGCACCGCTCGCAGTGTTTCAGACGGGAATATGGGCTACGACGCACCGCCTCCTACCGCAAAGCAACATGATGCTTTAAAAGCCCCTAAAATAGAGCTAGCATCACTAACTGTTAGATCTTTGAGACCATATGCATAAATTAAGAATGTGTTTATGTTCATACAAACTCACAATGATGTTTCTGATCAAAGACTCCATCTAACCCCCTTGTGCTGATCAACAGGTGACAACCGGACGCCTTTGGAAGAAAGTCTACGATGAGCTTGGAGGAAGCCCAGGTAGCACCAGTGCTGCTACGTGCACTCGGAGACACTATGAGAGGTGAGGAGGATTCATGCAGGCGGTCAAGAAATCACAAAATTAATAACAATAAAAAAGACATTTATAAACCCGACATCTTGAACTCCGCACTGCAGGTTGGTGCTGCCGTTTGAGAGACACATAAAAGGGGAGGACGACAAACCTCTACCTCCGAGCAAACCACGGAAGCCGTACAAGAGGAATCAGGAGAGTAAAGTGAACAAGATCGACGGGAAAAGGAAGAGGAGTCATTCTGAGAGAGAAATGGATTCTGAGGTAACAGCGGACAGCGTTGTTTAAAATCTGAAAATGAAAAGGTTTATAACTACATGTGAGTAACAAAATGTTCCCTACCTATTTTGAAGTTACCCCAAAGAAGCCAAGATGTGGTATGCCAAGGTGAATCACTGATGAGTCCTCACTTCACCCACTGGCCTCCCAGCTCTGACAGACGCCACCCGGAGCGATCTCAACCGAGCAGAAGCGCTGGAGATTTCTGCCCCACTGTAAACGGCCACATCCTGCAGGCTCCCAACAACTGGATTCCTCATCTTCCCTCTGTAACTGGAGAGGTCATCTCTCCTCTGGAGAAGAAGAAGCGGATGGCTCAGGCCAGCCTCAGTGTGCCGCTGAGCTCCCAGAGAGAGGATAAGGAGAGGCCTTCAGTCATCCACTGCTCCCAGTCTCCAGCCAGGGCTTCTTCTAGCAGGAACTGCAATTCCTCTGAAGGCTCTCCGTTGCCCTTATCCTCCTCCTCTTCGCGCAGTTCTTCCCCCCTTTCCGTTTCTTCGGAAGAATCTCCAGCAGGGAGCGGGGACAAACCCAGACCCAGTTCAACGTCGGCCGAGAACTGTTCGATCGCTGCCAAAATGCAAGAGGACAGCAAACCCTTGAGCTGTGGTCAGACGCTTACAAGCACATCAGCGCAGAAGAAAGACACGCCTCTCGTTAGCTCCCAAACACTGACTACTGACTCTGTAAAAAGCCAAAGAAAAGACTCTGCCTGGAACCCTTACCACAAAGTACCCAGCAAATATTTCGCAAACCCTTTTCACTCATCGCCTTCCTTCTCGCATTCTACCTCGAGCTTCACCAAAGTCACTCCCAAATCCGTGCAGCTGCTGCGACCTTCTCCCATTCGCCCAGGTTACAAACTTCTCCACAGCAGGCTGCTCCAGACGGACAACTCTCTGCCTTTCGCCAAGAAGCTGGGCGGCGTGACCCCGTGGTCTTACCCGACAGACAAGAGGGACAGGTCAAGGACGGTGCAGCAGAAAGTTCCTCCCAGTCAGCAGGGACTGTCTCAGTCCACCACCGCCTTGCCGACGTCGTGCATCCTGTCCAATTACGACAAATCGTTGAGAGACTCCAGGCACCAACATACGTTACCTCCGGTGCTCCTTCCCCACAGAGTGAGACTCCCTCAGCCCCAGCTAATGTACCATTCTATGCCAGTCGGTGCAAGTCACCCGGCTCTCATTGGTCCGGCCGTTTACCCGTACCCTTACCCCATCCCTCTGCTGAGTCCACAAGTCGGATACCCGCTACCTACCATGAGTTCAGTTTATTCTCACAAGATTTGAGGAGGACAATTGAACATGTTAGAATAGCTTTCAAACTAGAGGAGAGAAAATCAAGGCAGTATTATTAGTCAAACAAAACCACTAGAAATTCAACAATTCTCCACAGCTGCTAAGACCGAGGCCAGTTGAATCTGGATCGTGTAAATGTTGGAACTGCGTTATTTTCATCCTGTCTTTGTGTTCACAAAGTTCTACTTTATTACACATTGAAATAAAAGTCACATTTTTCAGCCAATTCACACATCCGGAAAAGCTTAGAAGTCGAAGGAGCTAGTTTTTCCACAACATCAGCCTTACCTCATTAACGTTTGATTCCACTGTTTCAGTTCTTGATCTTAAATTTAAAAAAAAAATTAAAAAAGCAACTTTGCTGTTGTTTTTAGTACTGTATTGCAAAGTCAGAACAGTAAACAATGCGGTCACTCTCTTTGTTTTTTGTTTACCTTTTATCAGTGTTAAATATTTTATTAAAAAAAAGAAAAAGGAGACAAAAAAAAGGTCTTTGTCAGAATTTGCCATTTTGAAAATGTATTTAAAAAAGACAGTGAAAAGAAATAAATAAACAAAAATCTTTTATAACGGTTCTCTTCTCTCGTTTTTTTGGAAAATTATTTGTTGATTTATGGTTTAATTTTTTCTTATAACAGGGCCGATTTATTTGTTGCTACTGTTATAGCTTTTGCATCTGCCAACACATTTATTTACTCTGGGTTTTGAACTGTCTGTCGAACAAAGACGCCCTGCAGCGCAGAGCTCATGACGCACCGCTGTGGTCTGTCATGCTCAGCTTCACTGTGGCATGGGCAGGGTGGAAGTAGGTTCAGCGGTGGTGAAAATAACAAAGAATTCTTAGGCAAGAGCAATGAAGAGGAAATAGAAAGAGGAAATCACACAAATGAGATTATGCTGCAAGCCACAATGTGGTCTAAAACAGCTGGAAGTAGTAGAGCGGGTAACAGAAATTCTTGTAAATGTAACGTAAAACTGAGAAGAAAAAAAAACAAAACAACGTGCTGTTTATGCCCAGGAAGCATTAGCGTAAATGTTAATATTTTAGCACTGAGGATTCAAATAAATTTTCAGGAGCAGGAGTTCAGGATGTTGTAAAACTTTCTGTCATAGTTAAATATTGTCATGAAATGTGACCAATAGGGAGAAAAATACCATAGTTTTGCCTTTCCTTTCTGTCTCTAAGACTCTCTGTTTACTTCTGCCTTTACTCTCTAATTTGGGTGTGATAGCCAAATTAAACAGACTGCTGCCTCAGCCTTACTTGATGTCAAGTTATATATTCCGTAGTAAAAAGTCGCACTTAACATTATGCATTAGAAAAATTCCTAACATTTCTAAATTGGCACAAAAGCAGTCAATTTGGGGAAAAAAAAGCAAAAAAACATATATATATATATTAAATAACACATCCTAGATCTGAATGAATGAAATAAAAATGAAATAAATATGAAAATAATTTCCACCTGTTGTTTATTCCATTTGCACAACAGCAGGTGATATTGATTGTCAATCAGTGTTGCTTTCTAAGTGGACAGTTTGATTTCACAGAAGTTTGATTTACTTGGAGTTATATTGTGTTGTTTGAGTGTTCCCTTTATTTTTTTGAGCAGTATATATATATATATATATATATATATATATATATATATATATATATATATATATATATTATGTGTGTGTGTGTGTGTGTGTGTGTGTGTGTGTGTACATATATACACACATATATATGTGTGTGTGTATATATGTACACACACACAGATATATTGGAGGAACTGCTGTTCATTGCTATTCTAACAGTTTAAGTAGCCCTTTAAGGACATTCAGATGTTTTGCGTCATTTTAACTGTTTCTGTTTTCGTCTCTAATTCTCTGCTTTCCCAGCATCTTTGTGAATTTGCAATTGTTTCATACTCTTTCCAATTTTGGCTGATGTATAAAACATTACCAAAAAATTTTTTTTTTTGATAACCTAACCCGAACCTCTTTGGTTGCACTTGATTATTTTAAAGGGTGCCATCAAATTAGAAGAAGCCAAATACCACGTATTGTAGATTTTTTTTATTAGTATCCTTACCTTCCGCTTTATATATGTGCTCCGGTTTGTGTTGGTCTGTGTCGTGAATCCAAAAAGAGCATTATAGTCCCCGAGTTATGTACTTCAGGTGGACTTGTTTCTAATTTTATTTTAATGCGAGTTCTGTAGCAGCATAAATTCATATAGGTAGTGCGAAAAATGACAAAATCTTGACACTATTAAGAAACTAAGGATTTTAGTAAAGTGTCCAGATTGGCAGGTGTACATATTAAGCTCGGTTTGCGAGACGGCCTGCCTGACAGACACAACCCGGGGTTTGAAAACAAACCTAACTCTCGCGAGAAGAGTCTCAGTGGCGCGAATAAACAAGAAGGTTTTTCCAGCAGTTGTACAACTAGCCGTCCTCTCCTCAGACTTATTCGTCCAAGGGGTTTTCTAAACCTTCTTTTAAAAAATATAGCGTAAGACTCTACACAACATATTTTAAAGTAATTTTTAGGCAGCGGGCTTTTTTGTTTTACAGCACAACAATGTCGGACGCATTGTCGGAGGACGGCAGCGACATCCACCATGACGACAGCCAGGAGGACGTCATGACTCCGGCGGAGCTGATCGCCAGGCTGGAACAGGTGAGCCACAGACACCGTTTGCTGTTACATCCGGGACTTTTAAGGCCTTCTCCGCGCTGCTGCAGACACAACCAGCTCTCCGCTCACAGTGTCGCCACTTTGTTTCTGCCTCCCAGGCCTGGCTGAACGAGAAGTTTTCTCCGGAGCTGCTGGAGAACAGGTCAGAGGTGGTGGAGTGTGTGATGGAGCAGCTGACTCACATGGTGAGTACCAGGGGGGAACCTGAGTTACACCTGTTGCTACTCTACAGGATCAAGTAGGAGAAATTCTGGGTGTGGTGGGAAAAATTCACATTTTCTCCAATTGAACTATAGCTGAACTTGCTCCATTGTCTTGTTATCACACACAAAACATTGTCCATATATGGAATAGTCATCATTCATTTGCTCAGAAATAGGACTTCCTTTTGGGACAGTTTATAAGTGTCACAAATGCTGCTTCATCATTTGAGTTGTGACTTTAGTTAAGAGGGAAGGAAGCTCTAATAGCTCTAAGCAGATGATCAGCATTTCAAATTCTCAAATAACACTTGAACTACGACCCCGAGTCCCAGAGCATGTGAAAAGGAGGAGTAAGTTCAAACCATTTCTCCTGTCAGTCGTAATTAACGAACCATGTCGTTGACTCCTGCGCCTTCCTACTTCTTCAAGACACTATATGAGTTACAACAAAATTCTGTTTACTTTTGGGATAAAGTATTTTAGAGTTGAACTAAAACATTTTTTTTTTCTTCCAACAGGAAGCTAACCTGCAGCGAGTGAAGAAGGGCGACGCCAAGGCCGGCTTCCATCGGATGGAGATGGACAGGATCCGCTTTGTCCTCAGCAGCTACCTGCGATCCCGCCTTCAGAAGGTCCGTTGAACGCGTATGAAAACGTCAAGACATCTCTGCCGGTGTCTTGACGTTTGCGCTTTCCGCACCCTAGATTGAGAAGTACTTCCCCCACGTCCTGGAGAGAGAAAAGTCTCTAGTGGAGGGTCAGCCGTCTCTGCTTTCTCCGGAGGAGTTTGCCTTTGCCAAAGAGTTGAGTGCTGCAAATGTGGCCTGTGTCGTATGACAAGATTCATAATAAAAATAAAATTTTAAAAACTTTGCGTCCAGGTATTATACCAACACAGAAACCTACCTGAAGGCTGTAGCGCTGAAACGCATGCCTCCAAACCTGCAGGCTGTGGACATGCTGAAAGCAGGTAAAATGACAACATCCATCTTGATTCTGTGCCTTCAATGATCTCTGACCTTAACCCTTTGTTTTACTGTGACCCCAGTGCCGGAGCCCTGCCTGGACTCTTTTGTGTTTCTGCGGGTGAAGGAGCGGCAAGAAAACGTTCTGATCGAGCCTGAAACAGACGAACAGAGGTGCTCATTTTATCTTTGCGATTCTCTTCATGCGTTGTCATTCAGCTAAGCGTCCAGCAGGGGGGAGTGTAGCTACCTCCCCTCTCTGTGATGCCATATTTTCCTGGCATTGATGCTCTAGAAATGCCTTCTTTTGTTTATGTCAGAGACTTTGTTGTGGATCTTGAAGAGGGCTCCCAGCACCTGATGCGGTATCGCATTGTAGCGCCTCTGGTCTCAAGTGGAGCTGTGCAGTTAATTTGAACACATTTGGGTAAGTAAGGATGCATGAGGGCAATCAATAATCAATAATGAGCCTTAAGCGTTTTTGTGCTTATTCATTTTCTGTAGCTTTTATATTCTCTGTAAAATTTGGATTTATTGGGAGTTTTTTTAGAATCAGTTAAATGTCTTTGTTTACACTATAACACTTACAAAAGTATTCATATAACCTATTTTGCAATGACTACAATTTCTCTACTTTGTGCTGATTTATGACAAAGTCACAATAAAATACATTGAAGTTAATTACTGCAACGGGATTAACTATGAAAAGTTTTAGGGACTTTTTCTGAATCACAGTTTCTTTTTAAATGCTAATTCAGACACAATTTTACGTTTTAGGTCTTTGTTGATGTTTCTCTCTCTCTCGCTTCTGAAGATTTGCTGTATTTTCCAGCCCTGTGAAACAGCAAGGACAGCTGCATCAACATTTATTACATCAAGAGAGCTGCTCCTCAGAGAGGAGCGACTCCTGTCACACAGATCCAGATGTGTTTGTGCCTTGACAAACAGTGTAGAAGAATCCCGATTCTGCAGGGCTGTGCTGTTATTTGTGGATCATTATAATCATCAGAACTGAAGTGCGCTTAAGTTTTCAGATCGTTGCCTTACGCACACCAGAATATGAGCTGCCATGTTCCCAGATTCTTTCTGCATCACTGAATCAGTATGACTCATCGTCGTTATTGGACCTTTTCTCTGCCGCTCGATAACAGGATGCCTTCTATGACCGGAAGGGGAAGTAATTTTCAGTTCGCTTGGCACCACAGTTCCCGCCTTTCCGTTCCGTCGTCGTTTGTGTGGGAAAACGGTTGTTTTTCAAGAGGAGACGTTCGATCGACGTGAACTCGTGCGTCTGTGTGTTCCTAAGTTAATTGAAATTTAGCAAATGTCCTTACGCCGTGTGCTAACTTCATCTTGTAAATATGCATTTGTACAATGGACGCATTTCATCTTCAGCCGAATAAACATTGTCTACTGTGAGTTGTAATTATTGAAGCAGCATTGTTATGATTGCCTGAGGGGGCAATCAGTGCTTATTGTTTGGCCTCACTGTTATTGCTCAGCAGTTGGAAGTGATAAAGAACAGAGAGAGCGACCGGGTTTAGAAGTGCCGTCACGTCGACCTGCACTCTTCTCAAGCGACTGCTGCAGCTCTGAACTACGTTGTTTTTAAAGCTTTTTACGAATAAAAGTCTGAACAGTGTGGCGTGCTTATGGTAAAGCCACAAAGTACAATCCAGCATAACTAGTTACCTTAAACCATTCAGAGGGTTTGCACTGCTGCTTGAATTTTAAAAAGGTGTTTTTAAGGTACTTAATACCTGTGTAATGATCTTGAAAGTGCTTGATATTCGATCTGTAGTTTCGTAAAAAAATTCAGAAGATGACTCCTTATACAATTAAATTGTGTTTAAGCATTTTATTTTAGCAGGATGGTCATTTACCAAATTAATGAATGACTATAACTTCTAATTGCTCAATCAGTTATTTAACTTAAATAAAAGTAGTATATTTTACTAAAGTTATTAAAATTGGACATTTTTTTTGTAGAATTTTTTGTTTTGCTCCAATCAGTTGTTTAGGATTACATATTTAGTATATCATATTTTTCTTCATCTTTGCTATGTAGAATACTATCACAAAACAATAACTAAGAAATGATGCCAAGAGCAGCGATGCAATGTTTTAGAATTAGAGGTGTCTAAATCCAGGACACAAGTCCTACATCTTTTGGCGTTCCCCCCCTTCTCTAACAAACCTGAATCAAGTATCACCATTTGCTTGATTCACATCAGCAGAACCAGAGAAAGAACTTTGTGTGCCACTGGTTCTGATTAAAACGCATCCAAATGTTGGGGAAGCACAAAGTCCAACCGTAAATCTAGTCTAGAATCTTGATCTTGAGTAAAGTTTGCAATTTTGTTTTTAATAAATCCTAAGCTGCTGCAACAACTGTCTGGTTTTAAGAGCGTGTTTTTTTTTTTTTTTTTGTTATTAATGTAATTCGAGCTTAAAGGTTTATATGTGTTATACAATATTTTTGGGGTCATGTCAAATTCTCAAAGTGGCATCAAGTCTGGTTTCCACTGCCAAGTACATCTCTAGTGCTACGTGTAGGACGTGGATCATAAAAGTGTTGCACGCTGGGACTCGTTGGTAACCTGGCCTTCCTCCGTGTCACACATGCTTTCGTGAGACAAGCCAGGTGCCAACTAGGGAGAGGGTTGAGGCCTCTGTGGAGATTGGTGTCGACTGACGTGTCTGAGAATAGAGCCCAGCATGACTGGGATGGTTTCCATAAAGGAGAATAAAATCACGTACAGCAGAGCTTAACAAGTGCCATACAGACGCTGGAATCCTTACGGCTGAAGAGATCATCAAAATCACATTTTCTCATAGTTTGTTTCATCATAAAACACAAAATCCTTTTTTTGGGGGGGGGTTCGTTGAAAGCATCCAAAAACAAAAAGACAAGTTCACTCTTAGATGAAGGTATTTGCAAACTTCTTATGTTTCTTTGGGAGTAAAGGCTTCCAACTCGCTGAGTGGGAAGCTCACAGCACTTAAAGGATCTGCTGCAAACGTCTTGGTGTCAGATACCACAACAAACCTTCAGGAGTCCAGTGGAGTCCAGGACCAGTTGGGTGGTCATAATGTTACACTGCATCTGTGTAAATACTGAGAGCAAAAAAAAAAAATAAGCACAAACATGTCTCTTTGTTGGTCCTGATTGGTCAGGATACTGAACTGGGCAGAGCCGTCTCTGCTGTATTGAATGAGCTGGTAAAAATAGGAGTCAGTCTCAGCTGGTCCTGCAGACAGAGGCATAATGCAGTCTGTGGTTCAGCCTCCCAGACTCCAGACTTAGTAAGTGGGAGCTTCGAAACACGTTTTTGTATTTCTAAACAGAATATTTGTAGTAACACTGACATGCTTCTCCGTTTGTCTCCACCGCAGGCTTACCCACTGAGATAAACCTCACCATCACTCTGCCAGCATGGAGATGTCCGGTCCAGCGTAAGTATGCTGTCCTGCAGCTGCGGGGTCTTATGTCTGGCTTTTCTCCTTCAAAATGAGGATGAGATCAAATGTTTACCCTTGACCTTGAGATGTGCTCTTTCATTCATCTGATAACCAAACTGTACTGCACATTTAATTCCCCCCATCCAGTGCAGCAGTCTTTATTAAACCTCCTTGTTTGCTCTTCGCAAAGTGTTCTGCCGATGGTTGGCCTGGGCTCCATGGCTCACTCGGCGGGACTTGTGGAGATTGCAGTGCGACTGTGCTTGAACCAGCGCGAACACTTGTGTCCCCACGTGTGGGTCCCCATCCTGAAGCCTCAGCGGCCCTGCATCCGAGCCCCTGCAACGGATCAGCTCCCCGACTACGTCGCCAACCATCTGAGTCACCCCTTCTCACCTTTCCTGAGTGACCTGGAAGGCGATGATGCCGACAGCGACATTTTGGCACCGGTCAAGAACAGACGTGTGGTATTTGCAGACAAGTTGGGTTTCTCCCTGACGGCCGTGCGCGTGTTTTCCCACGAGGAGGATCAGCGTGACCTCGGCCCGCTGCCCTCCCTGCAGGGTTTGGGGAGCATGACCGGGGACGGATACAGCTGCACCGTCAGCACCTGCTGCCCGGGGACGCAGCTCAAGCTGGGCTTCCCGCAGCCCTCACTGGACTTCCAGTCCTTCCGAGCCAAGCTGGCCGAGAGCATGGTCACCCTGGAAAACTGCGCCGTCACCGAACAGGCCCTGCAAGGCAGCGCGCGAGTCAGAAACCTCAGCTACCAGAAGGACGTGCGTGTGCGCGTCACCTTTGACTCCTGGCAGAGCTACAGGGACATCCCCTGCACGTACCTGCAGAAACGCTTCGGAGGACCCCAGACCGACATCTTTGAATTTGATATAGCGATTCCTAAAGTGTTGGACGCCAAGAGGAAGATAGAGTTTTGCCTCATGTATCTGCCCGCAGGGCACAGGGAGCCATTTTGGGACAACAACAACGGGCAGAACTACAGCATTTTGGTGTGTGTGAATTCACATCTCTGCCATGAGAAAAGCAAAAGGGCATGAGAAGCAGCTGAATATGCCGTCGCTACTTAGCTTCTTCATATAAAAGCTTTTCTAGCTTAAAAGTGTTTGTTTTTGTGCTTTGTTCCAATAAATCTTGGTTATTCCATCTCTCACATGCCATTTCCTTTCACTCCACATTCTTGTGTCCTGACCCACTAGTTGGTCTCTCATCTAATACTGTTGTGCAATAGCAGAGGGATCCCTTACACTGCAGGCATCACCAGCATTCCCACATAGGTCAAAGATGACTGGGCCGTCACACACACACACACACACACACACACACACACACACACACACACACACACACACACACACACACACACACACACACACACACGCATAGAAGCATCAAGCCAGTCTTAGCTGGGCTCTGTTTATAGTCTGACAGGAATCCTTTCTGTACTTTATGAGCAACAGCCCAGTTCTAACTCGTGTCCTGTCAGAAAACTGGATTGAGCACCAAAGGTGTGAAAGCCGATTTGACCTTTGGAAATGTTTTTGCTGGTTCAGAAGCAGAAGGAATAGTCTTTGCATCTTTCTTGACTGAAACTTAAATCTCTGACAAACAGGAACAACAAACTGCAGCAAATGACAAAAACAGCAACATCATAAAGGGAAGAATACCTTCCTTCTTCGAATGAAGGTATTTGAAGACAAGTACAGATTTTTGGTAAAGCCTTAAAATTCATTATAAACAACGCAGAATCATCGCACAGTATACTTCTACCTTTTAAGTATTTATTCTAAATTGACTAGACTTTCTAATAATTCATGCTTTTTGTCACATTACCACGAGAACCATCTACTCTCCCTTTGAAAGACGAAAAAGAAACATTTCGAAAAACAGACAAGAACACTGAAATGTTACAAAACTCAGTAAAATACTAAAATGGTTTGAAAGTAGAATTTGTATCATTTGGTTTTTAACTTTGCGACAGACTGGCAATCTGTCACCCGAAACATTCCCTGGAGAACCAGCACCTCCCGACCCCATCAGGGACAAGGGTGTACAGGAAATGGAAGGACGGATGAACGCAATCCAAAGTCAAGAATTTCTACTCAGTTGTATTAATCAAACGTGGATCAACTTGGTCAAATTTTGATTACTTTATTTTTATTGATATTAATATTCTTCAACATTTCAGCAAGACACTTTTTCTAATTGGTTACAATTGGGTCCAGAAGTCAAGAGACCAGAGGTCAGCAGCAGAAGAGGGACCCCCAGGCAGTCCCAGGGTGACCCTCCCTGCCGCGTGTTGAGACATTACTGACAGCTTCAGAAAGGTGACAGTCAGGGAACTGTTTCCTCTGCTGCTTCCTCTAACTCCATTTTCAGAGAGCGGTGACAACTCAGTCTGACGTTGGACCGAACTAGGATACTGCTTTTCACTTCAGGGCGACCAGAGATGAAGGGCCAAATGTGGCACACTTACAGTTCATGACTCTATTTCTTTCCCCCAAAGTCTCCTAGAAGACAAATCAAATATTTAGAAAATCAAACTCTCAGTTAGACAAATCAAATCACGAACCAGCAAAAAATACTCTCATTATAAATTAACCTCAGAATTTCCGTTGAAGAAATTCTGAAACAAGATATGTTTCTTGTGTCTTTGTAGATAAATAGTTGCACTATTTATAACAGTTAACCGGTAACAGTTTACTGATGTATTTTTTTAGTGACAAGACATTAAAATGAACACTTGAATTTCAAATGAAAATGTTGGTATTGTGATGTAAGAATGACTACAGTGTATTTTTGCTACATTTTCCTCTCATTCATTTCTTGAAGTGTGCAGCATAGAGATAATTTACCCTCCAGACAGACAGGTTTTTTTTGACAAAGACTGATATGATTTTTAATAATATAAATATAGCTGCATAGTCAATCCACTGTTTACAACTTTCCCCATGCTGTCGCTGCATTGTAAGCTCACTGACACGTCATCCAGATCCATTCACTATGTGCATGCATGTGCATTCGCTATGAAACCTTGTTAGAGTACATGGCATCATCAACAATTTGAAACGGCGGGAAATGCGACTAAAATGGGCTGTCACTGGGAATAAAAAAGGGTTTATCACAAACAAAACCAACCTTCTTCCAGGGACATTATGCAAAATGTAGAGGTGAAGGATGTCTCACTATGTGTATGCCATCCCACTATCAGAGATGTTCTAGGAGAGACAGAGAACTGTCCTTTTTGCAAAGAATGGTTGCACAAAGCGTTTGGCAGCAGGGTTACCGGTGACTGTTCCACCAACGAATGTGTTAAAAGCGATTCTATTTTAACATTGTGCTTTCACCCACTGGATAAATGTCCACAAATTAAAGTCATAGGATTTTTCTAAATGGAAAAGGAAAACTTCAATGAGTAGAAAAATTGATTTGAAGGCTTTTTGTCCATCTTTAGCATGGACAAATGCTAAAGATGGACTCCACATTTTTACAGATCAGTCTGCATCTGTAGGTTATAGGTGGCAGGAATCCTGGCACAGAGGGAATCCCGAGAAGTCGACAAAAAAAAAATCTGTGCAATGTTTCTGTTTTTCTGAAACTCACATTTCTGAAAGGCAGTAACATCCAATTTATGGTGGAACAAATGACGAAACAGGAGCATTGTGGACGTAGGAAAACACATGAAGACACCTGAAGAGTAGGTATAGAGCTCTGGAATATATATCATCCAAGGGGTCATTAAATAAAAATCTCCTCCACTTCAGGGTGGAGGCGGGGTGGGGAGCAGCTTTAACACAGTTCAAGAGATGTATTTCTCCACCATGCTCTGACAAGTCCATAATTTCCTCAGCTGTTTTGTCCAATTCTGGGTCTTTTCGAACTGTCGACTCAAAGTCAACTTGTCCCTCAGCGCCCCACGCTGATGTTGCACACTTTGCAGCTTGGATCTTTCTTGGCGTTTGCCGTGGTCAAACTCATAAGCTGGTGGTGCCCACTGATCTGCTCCACACTCCCCTGATCCACGTGAACCGGCTCCGTGAAAAGCACCTCCAGGATCACGTCACTGGCGTGGCAGTACACGGGCTCCTCCCCCTGCCTCTGGGGGGCAGTGTAGGTCAGAAAGGGGTTGGAGGACAGGTCCAGCCTCGGCAGGCGGGTGCGACAGAAGTTGTCTCCCTCTGTGCCAACGGGCGCAAGCACCAGCACCACGTAGTGATATGCCGTGTACATGCAGTAAAAGTCTGCGAAGTACAGGCAGACGTTTGGGTTCAGCAGGACTCCAGCTGGAATCTGGAATCTGAGGGGGCCGTACGGAGAGTCTTTGGGGGGGAGCCCCGTGTCGAACTCTGTGTTGCAGCTGAAGAAGACGCCTTGGAGTTTGCCGTTGATCGGAGAGCCATGACTCCCGCTGGTGTCTTTCAGGGCCGGACGCATCAGTCCCCCACATTCCCTCCTAATGCAAGACACAGAAAGAAAATGAGGATTTCTTCTGGTTGGTGTGACCAATCAGATCAAAGAGAAGGATAACAGCTCCAACCTGACATAGTCAAAGTATTCTGGGTGCTGGTTGCGATAGAACACAGAGAATCTCAGCAGTCGTCCTGCAGGACCGCTGGCCTTGTCAAGGAGCTGCTGAAGGTGTTCCATTGCATAGTCTGCAAAAATGTTATAAAAAAATCATGTCTCCTCGACAGATGCTTTGAATATATGGTCCCCCAAAAGTATCCGCACCCTTTGAAGCTTTTCACATACCGTATTGTCAAGTCGCATTTACAAACTTCAATGGATTTTATACACTAAACAACCCAATGCGTTAAGGAAAATGAATGATGAATAGTTTTTAAGATTTTTCACATAAACCATTGTCATGTTCTTTTCCATTCAGTCCTCATCACATTGAGATGTTTGTGTCCTGAATAATATTGGTGCTGAAATCAAGTGTGGAAGCGTCATGTCCCTGGGGTGTTCATTTCAGTAAGACCAGGTAAACTGATCAGACATGATGGAAAGACAGATCGAGCTAAATGCAGTGATCCTGGGAAAAGACCAATCAGACCAAAAAGATTTACAAATAGTCACTAGGGTGAAGGTTTACTATTCAGCAAAGCTACAGACAATGTTGCAAAGGAGCTAGGATTATCTGGCAAAGCTTGAAAAGTGACTTTTACACGTGTTCCGAATCTATTAGACAAAGTTAAACACAGTTTTTATATCCAAAAGAATAAACAATGAAACTATTGATGCAATCACACTGAATAACAAATGCATAACACAATTTTCAGAAACAAAGAAAAAAAAAGCCTTTGTGTTGGTCGATCCAATACAATCCAAATAAATGTCGCTCATCCTTGTGGCAGGATTGTGAAAACATTCCAGGGGTGCGAATACTTTTCTCTCGTCTTCAAAGTTCCTAAGCGTATTTATCTTGTTGAATGAGTTGATGAGTTTTACCTCCAGTGCAGAACTCCACCACCGAGCTCCACTCTGACACTAGGTAGTCACCGTCCGACTGCCTGACGGCTGTCTGGACAGCGACACAGTACTCCGTCCGCGGGCTGAGGAACCAGTGTCCTCTCACCGCCATGGGCAGTGGGACAGCCTTGGCCACCAGCTTGGTTGGGACATCCTGAAGACCAGAGAGGGGACGACTGTTTAATGGACTTTTAAGGAAGTAAATTCTACTTACAATTGTGAAATCATTATTCTTTTTCAGCATCAACGCTCCATTATTAAATGCATTCTGTTCCTTCCCAAGCCAGAGCTGCTGCGACTAAGACACATCTAATCAAATCAGCAGCTTTGTTTTGGCCAAGGCCGCTAAGCAGCACAGCTAATTACTGGCTCAGCGGCTCACATATCCATGGAAACATCTCTGATGCAAAAGTTTGTTTATGCCGCTTTGTCGATTGCTGTCTGAGAGGGAAAATAACCTCGATCCTGAAACATCTCTCTAATTCCCTTCCCTGCTTTGATTCCTCTCTTTTTTTTCAGTGACAGGATGCAGGTTGAAGCAACAAATCATAATCACTATCAGGGATTTGCAGCTGCAAGAAAGAGAGACTGGGATTTTTTTGATTTTTTTTATCTTCCACATGTTACATGCACGTGGATGTCATTTGAGTGAAAGTGTTGACGTCAAAATGAAACTGAGTGTAGAAATGCAAGCAAAGTGTGGCAAAGTGTCAGAGAGGGAGCTGATTGAAAGGTCTTTGCTTTTCCAACTCCTCTTCTCCTCAGCTGCTGTTTTTTTGGGGGGGCGAGGGGTTCACAAAGAGAACTGCATTTCATCTCAAGGTGTGTTTTAAAAATTCCCTCCACAGTGTGTGACGTCTTAGTATTTAATGAATTAAAGAGATGTCCAAAACCTGTCCAGATTTCAAAAGTACTCCTTTCATCTCGCGCCAAATTGTGAACTGGGAACCAGATAACCAAGAAAAAAAAATCTCATCATTAGTCACTGCATCTATGAGTTTATATTTCTTACAGTGCCTATGCAATGCATTGTACATGGGAATTGATTGAATCTGCTATAACACTTGCTCAAGTTGTCACTCAACAACACCTAAACATGACAGTAAAGTCAAGAGGGAGTGGAAGCTTGCATAATAATAATTTAAAAATTATCACATGCTTGAGGCTAGTTTCCCAAAACCCCTCCATTCAGGTGAGCTTGTTAGCATGCTAACACAGGGAGCCCAAAAAACAGCCAACGCGAACAAGTCCAAAACAGCCTGAGGTTCTGCTTAATGTGAACGCATCTGAGTTTATTAGTAAAATATTTGAAATAAATCTGTTGTGAAAGGTGTGCAGACAGACGGTAGGTGCGATTGATATTTATATACCTTGACAAAAAAAAAACATTCTTTGTATTTGTATTATTATGTCGTTTCAAAGTGCAGCAGATGCAATTAGGTCTAAAACGGCTCACTGCTGCAGCTGAATTTGTCAGCTTTAGTTCACTTTAAAGGGAAACAATTCACAACTGAGTCACAAGCCTGCAGCTGTTGACTGCATCCCTTTTCCTTTTTGCCTGTATTGGAAGCGACTGAAAGGGCACAAGCACTCTGTGTTAAATCTGATATCCCAACAAATGCAGAATACCAAGACGAAGTGAGACCCATTATACTAACCAAACTGGGCTCAGTGTTTGTGGAGAATTTTGATGTCGGTCGATTTGAATGTGGGGAAAAGACATGAACGGAGACAGAGCAGCCGCCCTGCAGGTGGAGGATGAAGTAACGAAGCAGTTTCAGACCCTGTGTTTGAAGCGGTTCGGATCCCTGTTCTCTTTGCGGCTCAGGTCGATGAAGAAATGCGTCGCTCTGGCTGTGTCCTCTGGAGGCATATCCCACATGATGCGGAAAGAGTCACAGGTCACCTCACAGATCTGGATGTTGCACGGGGTGGCGAGAGGGGCGTCCATTTCTGTCATCTGCCGTTAGAGTAGGAGATAAACGTGCATGGTTAGGCTGGTCTAAATACAGGCTGTGATACCAATGCCTTGATCTGTGCAGAATCTCCAAAGGCAGTGTCACTGGAGTCGGGTCTGAGCAGCAGCGGAAAACATCGCGGATGAAGACGTTTTCAGACAGAATTTAATTAGACTCTCATTTAGGGATTTGTGTGGCTGCTTTTTTTATTCCCTCTCCGAACGTTTTTCTACTCCACCTCCCTCTTCTTGCCCTCAACTGACATTTTCAGTTATTACACAACTCAATACGCTCCCAGCGGAGTGAGTAGCCTCTGTTTTGCCTCTGCATTTCATAATCCACCTACAGCAGTCTCCAAGCAACCACTCATCAGCAGCCTCCCCTCAGTCTTCTCCTGTGATTCTGAGGGAAGAGGGTCACAAACAAGCCCCTTTTCTGCACGTGTCAGCAGGAGTTGGAACTGTAGGAAACTTATTAAACATTTCTGCCTCCTCTCCCTGCTGGAATTTGCACAAAAACGGCTGAACAAGTGAAAGAAAGGCGACTTCGTATTGCCAAAATTGGGGAGGTTTACACCCCATCAGCAGCAAGTGATGTATGGTCATATCTTCGTCGATTCAGGCGGCTGCACACAGCCCAGAGCATTAAACTGGGCACAATCTGCTGCTCAGTCTGTGTTTGTTTCATTAGCTCCCGCCTTCTCGCCTCTCAACTGATGGGAAGACTCCTCGGTGGATGCACTTTGGCTGAGTTTGCCCCCTGAGGCATCCACTCCTCTGTAGTTTTCCAGTAATAACCATCCATTGGGAACTTTGCAATCTTCTTTTACAATATACCTGACCGCAGTGCCTTACGTTATGTTTTAATCTACATGTGACGTGTCACAAACAGATAGTATAAAAATGTCAAGTGAAAGACAAATATTTGAGATTCACTCAAGTTTAAAATAAAAAATAGAGACGAGCATTGGTATTTTCCTCTGAGGGCGAATCTGACACCCAGTCTAAATCTTTTGTAGCGTCAAAAGTTGTTTTTTTTTAAGGCTAGGAATCCCTGGACTTAAAATATATATATATATTTATTTAAATGTCTGATATTTCTGAGGATGATGAATTCTGATGTATATGAAAAATAAAAAAACTGCTTTGCTTTTGTCTGATCAGAGTACCTTCTGTAAATGTTGGCCGTAACCTTTACTTTGACCCTGACATGCTGGCTTCTTATGACGGTGGCAGTTTTCATGCCTTTTCTTGCATGAAGGCCAGATGTATGGAGTACAGACTAATGAAACAGCTCAGGTGTTACCAAGCATCTCTCGGCTGCTTGTCTCTCATTCCTAAACATGACCCTTCACCACTTCAGGTGAAGGGTCATGTTTTTGTAGGGCAGCAGGTGCGCCATCGTCTTTATGGACTTACCAGAGCTCTTTGAGATAGATAAAGCTTTTCTGATGTTATTTTATAACTGGACCCTGCTTTAAACGCCTTTGTGTGCCGTGTTTTTTTGGTCTTGATGTTGCCTGTTCGTTGATGTTTTCTGATAAAGGCCTAAGGCCTTCACTGAACAGTTGGATTTACGCTGAGATTAAATTGATGACTTTATATTATGTGACTTCTGGGTTTTCATTAGGGACATTAGATTAACCGAATACAAATGTCAAATTTTTATTTGTAAAAGAAACAACAAAAAAAAGAAACCAAGCATCCTTTTTCTTCTTCTTCTTCATAATTAAGCACCACTTTGAATTGGTCTGTTAGACAAAATCACACCAAAATTCACTGAATCTTTTGGCTGACTGCTTTTGCAAAGCATTGTAAAATTCCAGCGTCTCCTGCAACGTAACTTTGTTTTTTTCTTTCTCTTACTAAGCGCACGCTCACACTGAACATATGCTAATTCAAAGATGCTGCTAAAAATAACATTCTCCTTTTGTTGTCTGTGTGATGCGATGAAAGCCAAGCGTGAAGAGGAGCCGTCATTTTTGACCGCTGGGTTCGTTGAGGAGCTCTCCCAGACCAGGATGATGGACAGGCTGCAGCAGCTCATTAAAGCCTTTGAACTGTGAAATTTGTAAGGTAGCTCGTCCACGCCGGCGACCGTGCAGAGAGAAGGGATGCATCACGTGCGTCTCCATGCGTCTGCTTTCCAGCTGCCTGCTCTCTTTTCTAACCATGGAGCCTTTTCAGAGACAGAATCTGGGGCAGGGAGAGAGACACTCTCACAGGACCGGTCATCAGAAAGCCCCACGCCTCTCCTCGTGCGCTACTTTCAGATCAAAAAATGTGTGAGCGCAGTTCAGACAAAGGTCTTAATATCATTCACACAGGCTTCCACTGCATGACCTCATTTGCAAACCGGCGTTTCAATGAGAAATCAGAGTCAGTTATCTCTACTTTAATAGACAGCTGCTTCAATCAAGACAGCTGGCTCTGGCTGATAATTACAATGAGTTTTCACATCATAAATCCTGATTTGTGCACACATGCATACGTTGGCTTGCTCATTCCTATCACGCGACACACAGATGTCGAGATGCAGCAATCCTGCACATTGAAACAGAAAGGTACATTAAGCAATTTTCTGAGTTGAACTTAATGCTTTCCAGGACTTTGAGGTAGAACTGAATCAGATTTTAATGTAAAAAAGAAGAAAAAAACAGTGTAGTATTTTTCATCAGAACCAAATATAGTACCGCTGAGTTTGAAATCCAGTCTTTCTGGTTGATTAAAGCCACTGAGTGGTATCTTATGTGAGAAAAACCTAAAGCTTATGGTTCATCTGCACAATTTAAGCGATATATGAGAATGATAATAGCCCTGTTCTAATAATCAATGCAACTAAATAAAAACCCATTTCCTGTCCTGCAACAGCATTAATGATTTCACTAAGTGTGCAGCTGATATGAAACACTATCCACGAGCCATTTCATGTCAAATATTTCTTTAGAGGCACATACACAGGAAGTAGAGATGGAATGATCAAGTTCATAATAAGGTAAATAGAACAATTCTGCATATTTCATTTCTCGGCATTTACAATGATCAATAAGCAGAATAGTTTTAGAGCATTTCTTACTCGTCTGAGGTTCGGCTCTATGACGGGAGACGATTGTTTTCCTCCTTACTTTCCTCCACTGATGCTGCTGCTGATGGGTCCCTAAGGAAAACTGATTAGGTGGTGAAACAAACGCACACACAGGATCCTTTCTTCTTCTTTTTCTTCTTCCTCCTTCTCCTTCCGACTGTTTCTCTCACAGTGTCACACAAACAGCCTAACCCCCACCATCACCTTCTCTCCCTCCCGCCGTCCTTCCCTCCATCCCCTCCTCCCAGTCTCATTTCTCCTCTGATCTCTGCGTGGTGTTTACTTTGACTCCCGTGCAGTTGCACATATGCAGGATGCATAAAAGAATACCCCCCACTCCTCCCCATTTCCCTCAATCTCCCGTACAAAGGCAGAAATCTGTAAACTGAAATGCGACCACAGCGGGAGTCAACCTCGTCAGCATCACGGTTTCACCAGCCAACCGTACACAACACGTCAGTCGGGAGTAAATCTATCCGGAGGTGCAGAAGCCACACACACTCTCCTTCCAATGTAGGCTGCACACTTGGCTCCTTGAGTAAATGTCAACTCTCAAATATGGTGACATCACGGGCACTGGAAGTGTTAAACGAGAAGAAGTTGTGTTTGACATGCTCTGTTAGCAAAATCAGAAGAGATTAAGCTCTGATTTTCGTCCCAGTAGATTACACAGAGCGCCAACCAGACCTAAAAAAATATACATGTGCCAACTGTCGTGCCATATGGACGAACTCCACAAGGCTTCTACCCCCACATCCCGTCCCATACTATCCTGGGGCGAGGGATGCCACCGTATAAGTCCAAAGTAAGCAGATTTCCTCTGGCATTATTGTTCAGAGAAAACAGAGTTATTATGTTGCCTTCATTTTGGATGCCATTAGAGATTAAAGAAATCTTCCTCAGATTAATATGATAATCTGCTGCGGAAACAATGGACACAAACACAGGATAAAGACAATATGACAATATAGGCCAGACTCACAGTGAGGGAGCAATCCTCCCAAAGCCACATCATAGTTGTAATTTTCAAAGTGACCGTGATGTATTATTGTTATTTCACACACTATGAGCAGTATTGAGAAGCTTCATCTATTATCAGGCAAGCAGAGATAACGGATAGGCTCACAGTGTAATTAAGCAGCAGTCATCCATCATTAGTCACGGCATGACAATGCTGTCCCAAAACCCCCTCTTTGGAGCAAGAGCAAACGGTTTATCTCCTTTACAGGGATGTTGGAATCATTTTTTGACCATTCTAATGGTTTTGTCTTTGTTTGTGTTGTTAAGTGTTTATATAAATTCAGATTACATAATTTACACATTAAGCAGTACACAGTAAGCCCAACAGAATAAACCTTCATAGAGGCAAATAAGGTGATGAACAAAGACATCTGGAGTGGCGTACATAACTGACATGTTTCACACATTCACAGGGATGCTCTTTACAGGAAGCAATAGGCGTTGATTTTCTCAACGCCTATTGATGTTTTACGATTTCACAAAAACAATTTACAGTGTTGTGCCAGACTGGCGACCTGTCCAGGATGCACACCACCTCTCGCCCGGAACGTTAGCTGGAGATAGGCACCACCTCCCCTCATGACCCCATTAGGGAGAAGGGTGTTAGAAAATGAATGGATGGATGAATTTACAATGATCAATATGGAACGGTGCTTACTGTTCTTACTGTCTTTACTAGTTTTTGTCTTTGTGTTGTTTAGTGTTTAGTTTATTGTTATTATTGGTGACATTTATGTAGCTTAGGTTCGGCTGCATGGGGTTGCAAAGGTGGGACCCCAAAACTAAAAAAATGAGGGGAAAAAACAATATTCTGGTTTGTGTTTCAAGTAACTATTCACAGGAGATCTTAAAATGCACCTGCCGTTCATGTTATAACCATAACAAATTAGTGTAATTTGCAAATGGGACCGTACAAACACAGGAGCTAAAAATTGTGGTATGACTATATAATTCCGATTCTTATCCTGGGATTTTCTTGATAAACATAGTTGAATGTTAGAAGTTTTATTTATGTTCATATGGCTATTGCAAAAGATTATTTGTTTTAATGCTGTGTACACATTAAAAGGATGTCTTTTGCATGCTTTATTTTAGGATATAAAAAATGGTGTACAATTTATCTTCGTCTGTGGACATGTTTCAAATGGCACAAATCTTATAATACAGAAAATCACAGGAAGACATGTAAAGACTTGTAAAGCCATGTAAACGGACATGTTAGTTTCTTCCTGAAACTAAAACGTCAGACGTTCATACTGTATTTCGCGCATGCGCACAACGCTGGAGGGGAAGCCAACGGTTCATTTACTTGCCATCTATAGCGCCGCTGTCACCGTTGAATGAAACCTGGAGATGTAGTATTAATTTAGTGGACCGTGCGACAGCAAAGGTAAAAAGAAAATAATGCAGAGAACCTTTTGAAGAATAACTCAAAACCACCATTTTCTCGCTCTGTTGTAAAGGCCATATAAAGAGCCTACAGACTCGTAGCATGGCCGAGTCTGTGGCGTTGTTGTAGCAACTGACAACAACGCCCCTGTGTGTTTCAGGATTCAACAACACCAAAAAAAAAAAAAAAAAACATTCACACCTTCCTCACACAAAGAGGAAAGTCTCACTGTAAGAAACTATGTCTCTTACAGTATTATGTATTCAGGTTTGATTTTGCAGAAACTCATAAACAGTGGCTGCGACAGATTAACCGTGACCGCTATTAGCTAATCTAACACAGCTGAGGGTCATTAGCTCATTTAAACACCTGCTCTACTGATAACCTATCAGAGTTGGTGTGGTGGTTGGCCATTTTTTTAAAAATTGAACTGAAACATCAAATTCAACATCATGTTAAGGCTGTCAAAGTCAAGTAAGAATAACAAAACTACTTTCCTCTTCCTCACCATTTATCTTCCTGAATTAAAACGTTTTCCTGACTTTAACTAGTTTTTGTAGTGTTGACAATTAACAACAAAGCACTGCGTCCCTTAGAGATCAGGCGTACATATATGATTTAGCGCTTTGTATTGTCTATTTCACTGCTTTAAAAAAAACTATTGTTGTCACGGTCAGCAGCTGTTTGCCTTCCAGCAGGGAGATGGGGGCGGGGCCTGATGCGAGTGACGTCACTCTCCAAAGGGTTTATATGGCTTAAATAAACATGTGGTAAGTTTGGTCCTATACTTTAAAGGAATAAAATTTTAACAAATTTAACTTATTTATTTTAAGCGCATTTTAAAACTAGAAAATCTTATAAATTATGGGGAAAAAATCTCAGTCAATCTGTTTTTTTTTTGTTAGAAAATGTGTTGCAGAATTGCCTCTGGTTCATCATAAAGATCGTTTCTGCGCTACACTTTACGCAATGATAACGAAGTCACCCTGCGGGTTGTCATGCGCAGCTCTGAGCCCCGTGACGTCAGACCGGAACAACGACGCCGTGGTGTCATGGCGCCGTGCGTGATGTCAGAGCTCGGTAACAAACAGCTCTAGCTGCTCCTCAACGATCTGGGATGGATTTCTGGCTGTGAATTAAGACCCAGTAAGAACCTTGGAGGGGTAACGAAGCAAGTAGCCGAACAAAACCGGAACACGTGTTGTTATTCTGCTTTGGGACTTTCTAGTAAACTACAGTGCTGAGCTCATGTGTCTGTCTGTGTTGTAATGTGGCCACGTGTTGAGGATTTGTAGTGTGATTTTTATTACTTGTAATTATTTGTAGTTAAATTTAAAAAAAAACTGTCAAAACTATATAATTAAAACTAATGCATTTTATTCAATGTAAATAATTCTGACTTAACATTCATAATTTATTGTTACTTGAATCTAGTATGATCTAATATTTACTTTTCAAACATCTTTATAGATAATTATGGTTTGAGCTTTGATCTGAGCTCTCATAAAAGTGCCCAATTTATAACATCCGTGGATAAAGATTCCATCTACAATTTATTGGGCCCTAAAATGACATAAATTACAGGAAAGATAAATGTTTAACAGAGTCACCTAAAATCAGTTTGGGAGAAATACACCTTTCAGAATTAAAAGTTAATCCCATGGTCTTTAAAACCAGCTATGTGGAACTAAAGGTGAAAACTGAACTGGGTGTTGGCTCTCTGTTCCATTTTTCAATGTAGTCCCTAACATAGGCGAGCTGTGCCCTGAGCCTGTCGTATGATGGAAGCTGCACTTTTTCAGGGCAGCATTTTGTGGGTTCTAGCTCATGTTACTCTTCAGATAGTACCAACAACAATTACAAGTACAAATCGAAAATAAATGTCACATGTTTGTATTTTATAGTTGTTAGTTCCACATAAAGAGGGTGTTTGTCTGTTAGATCTGTCTGCAGATCAGGATGGCAGACTCAGGTGACCACAGCGGTCAGCAGGCTCCAGGTCCTGGAGGCCGGGGGAGCATAGGACCTCTGATGGGTCGCCGACCAGCAGCTGGCATCTCTCCTGGACGCCTGCCATCGGTGCGATCCAGAGATCTAACGCTAGGAGGAGTAAAGAAGGTAGTTTTTCTTTTTCATTTCTAATTGGACAAATGGGAGGAAACATTTTTGTCATGCAGAGATAGAGCTGAGCAACTTGTCTCTGCCTTAATGTAAGCTGCTGAAAATCTTCATCTCTCTCGCAGCCTGACATCTCTTGACCTGTGTCAGAAAATGCTGTTATCTTTTAAATCGCTTCTCACTGATGCTAAAAATGTCTAACTTTGAGTTTGCCTGACTTAACAACAACTGGCACACTGAAGACTGCTCCAGTCACCCAACCTGGTAGCACTTAGACTTGGGCCATTCAGTGATCACAAAGGATCAGATTTTTGAATTTCTAAACTAGCTGATTAGCAGTTGGAGACGATCAATTTGAAAATATTGCAGATTCTGTTAACCAGATAATTTCTCTGTACATTTTTATTTTTTATTATAATGTGAGCAAAATAAGTTTTGCCTTATATGGGAATCTAAAAAAATGATGCAGTAATATTTTAATTGGCTCAGTATTTGTTCTTTCTACCTGTTGTCCGAGTGAAAAGATGCATTTACCCTTATTACAATCTATTTTCTGTTTTGTGACATAAATGTAATTTACCTGTAATTTAGATATACTTGATAGATTGCTAACAGTAGTGACTGACAACATATTTATGAGTGCCAGATCTGTATCACATTTCTTTGTTTTCCTCCTTCTTCAGAAAACCTTTACTCCCAACATCATTGGCCGAAAAGTTAAAGAAGAGTGAGTTCATGGGAGCCTTTAAAACAAAAAAATATATAAATAAATATTTGAGCACATCTATGATCTATTTATTTATGTTTTTCTGGGACTGCTGGGTGATAATCTCTGTTTCTAATGCGACAGACCAAAGGTCGAAGGTGTGCCGAGGCGAGAGAAGAGGGATGGAGATCGAGGGCGGGGCAGGGGCCGCGGGGAAAGAGGCAGGGGCCGAGGTCGCAGCGAGGTCATCCAGTCTCACTCCATCTTTGAGCAGGGGCCTGGAGAGACGATGATTAAAAGAAGAGGTGGGCCTCGAGCTAGAGAAGCGGCTGCTCATGAATTCATGCTTCAGTGTTTCACATCCATGCATATGAACCCTGTCACACACACAGGGGGCTACGAGAGTGAGAGAGACGCTCCGAGCATGGGACCCTCGCCCATCATCAATATCAAAAAGGAGAAGAGGGAGACCGAAGAGGAAACCAAAGAGATTCTGCGCAAATTGGAGCGAGAAAACGTGCGTCCTTTGGCCGTCAGACATCTGTTTGTGCGTTTTTGGTTTACAGACTGTGTGAGTTTTTGCTTACTGATTTATTTCCTTTCATTTAGTTCATAGATGACCCATTCCTGAGGAGCGAGCAGAGGAGCTGCCCAGTCCAGCTTCCCCTGGCTGTGTCAGGGTGGGGATTCAAGGAGGAGCTTAACAGTGTAGCCGTTAAAGTAGAAAAGACAGACCCAGATGAGCCCATGGAGACTTCAGTTGAAGGTAGTTTCCGAATGACATTGCCTTGAAAAAGCACTCACACCATTTTGAATTGACAGACCGACAAAGGTAGTGCATAATTGTGAAGTCAAGAGTAATACAAAACATAATTTTCTTGAAGTATATGTATTATTTTCCCCCACCTACAGTGTGGAGACGAGCCCAAAAGCTTTTGAACCTCCTCACAAACCATTGTGTTTGGTGCACAAGTAACGCTGCATTTCATCCTGAACACATCATCCCCAGAAGCTTGAGCTATTTTTAAAAGACAAATGAACACAAATTTCAGTCTCTGGAAACATCTCAGAGTTGTAATTTCACTGGAAGGTGGTTCTATATATTATTGACTAAATGCAGATGAAAACATCCCATTTAGGGATGGATGCCAGCATCCATGTCCAGTAGCTTTTCTAACTCCTCGACGCGATAACTCACTTGTTTCTGTGCGCTATAAAGATTCTGTCTTAACACGTCTACAGTGAAGCAAGAGCCAGAGGAAGTGGAGATACAAAAGGTTGAAGCCACTTTCAAACCTCCTCCTCTCCCTGAGCCTGAAGTTCTCCCTGACCTGCTGCACAGATGGAGCCTGAGCAAAGCGGAGCAGCTGTTCTTCATCCAGCTGCCCGACTCGCTGCCCGGCCAGCCTCCCACCAAGGAGCATAAGGCGGTAAAAACCGAGGTGCAGTCGGAGGACGGGCAGTCCGTGCTTCTGAAGACAGAGCCACAGGTAGACGAAGCAGGTGGTGACATTTCAATCAGTGAGGATGCATAGGAGGCGTGTGATAAGTTCATTTGTTTTGTTACAGGACGAGGAAGCTGAAGACAACAGCTGTAATCTGAAGGATCTGAGGGAGGGCGTTGTTGGGAAGATGCTGGTCCGGAAGTCTGGCCGGGTGCAACTCATACTGGGACAAGTCACCCTTGACGTGTCTCTAGGGACGTCGTGCTCTTTCCTTCAGGTGTGATACTTTTTCATCATTAATCTGATTTGAGAGTTGTGCTACTTTGACATATGTGTATTAAATCAATCCTAAATACTGTCGTCTCTGCTGCTTCTCTTCTCAGGAGCTGGTTTCTGTTCAAACGGCAGAAAAAAACGGAAACCTAATGGTGTTGGGGAACGTCAGGCACAAAATGGTCTGCTCTCCTGACTTTGAGTCTCTGCTGGAGAGCAAGACATGATGCTCGCCCAGGCAGAGGGCTCCCAGTTACCTCTGATGCATTAGATGCACTAGTATTCAATAAAACAAAAACTACGACCCCCATCTCTGAATAAACTATGCTGATGACTGATTGCCTTTTATGTTTTCAGAGCTGCTAAAATTGCTTTGATATATATCAATTATGCATATTATAGAATTTTTTTTTTTAATTATGAATAAGACGGGTGGTGGTTTGAGGCTTGAGTGCCAAGTTTTGTTGCCGTTTGTGTAAAATTAGTTGACAAAATTGTACATGGATATAAATGTGTGAATAAAGACAGAATATCCCTACTCCAGTAAGTCATTTTTATTTCAGACTGGTTCACTCAAATTACAGAATTACTTCCAGTATTTTTGTCCATCCATCCATTATCTGTTCATGTTTTGGACTGTCGGAGGAAACCGGAGTACCCGGACACAACCCACGCATGCACAGGGAGAACATGCAAACTCTGTGCAGGACCTTCTTGCTGCAAGGGAACAGTTCTACCAACTGTGCCATTGTACAGCCCCCATTATATTTGTTTTTCATATTTTTTTTTCTTTACCTATTTAAGATAAAAAAAATTCAAGTTGCCAATCATGCAATTTAGATTCATGCTCTCTCTGAAGACATAAAACAATTGTAGGAAAAATGTTTACATTACGTAGAGAATGTTCTCTGCTGCAAAATGTGTGGTAATTCCATAATAAATGTATATTTAGATCAATTACACTGTTTTCTGCATTTTTTAAAAATCTTTGCTTTTATGAGTCAAAAACATTTTCATATGTCTTGCATAACACCAATGAAAAAAGAAGAAAAAGATTTGGATACAGTTGGAAATATGGCATTGACAGCTGTCCAGCAGACTAAACAATGAGGACAAGCAGCAAACTGTCTTGTCTTTTCATGCATCCAGGCATGTTATTGTGAAGTTGAGTGGGGAGAGAGAAAGTTTGGTTAAAAAAAGATGTACAGCACAGGAATAACCAGATCCTTAGAGAGGATCGGAATAAATCACATTCAAGTTTTCAGTGAGGACTCCAGCTGTGGTCCACACCAACCCAGGCACACCAATTCCCCCCACCGTGATTTAGAGAGCCATGGTAGATGCCAGTGTTGGCCCATTTTGACTTGTTTTATCAAGTCAAAAGTAAATGGAGCAATATATTTTATTTTTTCAGCCTTCATGCTAACTTCTGCTGACAGGCTTTGTGGAGAAGCTATTTTAATTTCCTAGAACTTGGCGTTTATCTACACTGCCAGAAATACAGTGAGAGACGCCGAATTTATTAGTTTATTTGTCTATTTTTTACCGTTCATGTGTATTGCATTTCACATGTACTCCACCCAGTTTGTTTGGTTTATTATTATAAGCTCATTCATTCTTCATTGTAGCTTGTTCATTCCTTCAGAACTTGGTTCTGTGTCTGTCCTGGGCCTTGATCCTCGGTACTGTTATTTCCCATATGTCATTGAATGCGACTGTTTTTACGCGTGTTCCTCGCACGTGCCATTCGCGAGGCAGTGCGCTGTTTTTGTTCTGCTGACGGCGCAAAGACAACTCCGGACGTCATCTGTGCCTGATCCCAGCAACAATACCCAAAACTTCTTTTCATGACCGCTGCACTTGATATAAAACGATGGATTTCAATTTAGAGTTAAGATTTTGACACGAGTTTGATTTTTCTCCATTAATCTTGTGACATAAATTAACTTTTCAATTACATTCTACTTTATTCTAATTTGGAGAAACGCTGCCCAAATTTGACAGGCGTTGAGGTTTTCTAAAAGTTTGCTGCAATTGCTCACTTCGGCCACCAGGTGTCAGTGTAGTTTTTCCTGGTAGGTATTTGTTCGAAGCTCTTCTGTTCTGCGCTGGTTATCGCCTCTGTTCTGGTCGCCCGCTGATTGCTCGTGGTGTCCGGCGGGTGGAGTTTGACGGCGGTCAGCGAGACAAAGGCAGAGAGGGATGGACGGGGAGGGAAGCAGAGAGGGATGGACGGGGAGGGAAGCCGTGCTGCGTCGGCGCGGGACTGAAGGTTGGTCAGACATAAGCACCTTTCAGCCTCACCCATGTATTTCACAGCTGAGTTATTAATACACGGAGCGCCATGTAGTTGCCGTATTAAATCCCGTGAAAGGTCGGCTCAGCATGTTTAGTCCTCTCAAACCTCTTTGCTGAGGGATGAAAGCGGGCTAACTGCTAGCGCTGTGGCTAACGGCTCACTTCAGCACCGGGGGTCGTTTACGGCTGGCTTCCGGACGTGTTCCGAACGGATTAACACTGATGTATATCCTTATTAAACGCGGGGATACGGATATCTGCGTAAAGCTCCGGAGTGAACCCAAAGGGACGGCGGTTGCGGGTCGGTGTGGACCCTCCTGTTAGCCGTCCTGCTTTCTCATGAACTCATGATGATGGAGGGCCTCCCTCCAGCTAGCGTTATCTCCTCACGGCAGCCAGCGTCGCTCGGCGAACATCTGATTGTGCTATCGGATGCATTACAGAAAGGACAAACGTGTTTGTAAACGTAAGCACTGCAGTAAGTGTCTTAAGAGAAAACGGAAGCGAGCGTGAGGGCTGAACGCCGGTTTTACAGAAGTGTACACAGTCTGTGTTGCATTGTTAACTTTTCTCGTCAGCATTCAGGCGGAAAGGGACGTCACGTTGATGCACAAATGGCCCTGATGGTTTGTTTGCTCGTCTTTGCAGGTTGACACCCAGCAGCGGAGACCCCGGAGGGAAACACCTGCCGAGCCCAGTTGTTTTTGTTACGTTGTTTGCGTCGCTGTCGTCAGCGGGAATTCAGTCTCTGAAATGCCAAAAGGACATCTGCAGCAAGGACAGGACACGGATATTTTTTTCTCTCTCTCTCTATTTCTCTCTTCTTTTTATTAGACTTTGAACTCATCCCAGTTTTCAGTGGACCAATGAAATCTGGAGAAAAATGCCCTGAGGGGCAGCGTGAAGATGTCTGCTTGCTTTTGGATTGATTTCTCATTGAATGTCTGGAGAAGCCCTATTCTCTGGTGATGTCAATGAGGGCATTTTCGTGACAAATACCCACAGGGGCCATTTGGGTCCAGACTGCAGAGACCTGTACTCACAGGAACTCTAATCTCTAACTTAAAAAGAAATATATATATATAAATACGTCAGGATGGAGCTCTTCTTCAACCCTTTTGATAATCTGCTGTGCATTCTGCTGGGCATCTCCTTCACCGTATGGGTCACCCTGCTTCTGGTGTTCATTATTGTTCCAGCCATTTTGGGGGTGTCATTTGGCATCAGGCGGCTTTATATGAAGACTTTGTTGAAGATCTTTGAGGTAAGAGCTCGCTGCCTTTCGATCGACTTTTCATCAAGTGTTTAGTTGAACATGATGGAGCAGTCACAAATGGCACACACAAAACTCATCGACATCGAGGCTTTGTAACCTGGAGTTATGCCGAGTTCGTTCCATCTGCCAATTACTTATTTTTTGTCTGAATATAGATATTAAGTTCTTACTTTGAGCATGGTTTCTCTTAAAGAGCTAAATACATTTCTCTTATTTCAAGAAATACAGAAAAAAAGCATTTCCAGATCACTCCTTTACAGGACCGATTGTCAAACCATATTTGGAAATATTAAATTTCATATTTTCTCTTTGTATATCAGTATTGGAGAGAAATGTTTTTTCTCTACAAAGTTAAAAAAAAGGTAAAGGATTACTTTGAAGTGTTATAAACATTGGCATTTTATTTGATTATTGAAAAAATCTAATAAACTTCCACACTCAAATAGTGTCAGCAGAACCCATTAACAAGCAGCTAATGGGTTCACTGACTGCCGAAAAAACAATCAAGCTGGTTTCTTTATTCGTCTCCAGTGAACCTATACCTTTTAGTCCCATCATTGTACATTTTAGGAAGCATTTTTCAAGGAATCCGATCTAACGTGTGCTCAGCTCAAGCTGTTTCTGGGTTGCGTTTAGTGTCAACCCACTGGGTGTTGCATTAACTGACTGATGCAGATTAACAACAGCCTACTAAGTGTCCTTCCGCTCTTATGTAACCAGCGGGGAAATTGTGCTGCAGACCCAGATCATTAACTGATGTGGCTCCAGTGCTTTCTTATTTTTCCCAGTTTATCATACAATTTGGCAAAAACAATGTTTCATTTATTCTCTACTCTGTTGTAGCATCAACTGCAGAGCAGAAAGAAATGACTCACAAGTATTGAGATACACTCATGGAAAAAGTGTTCAAATGCTTAACTTTTAACTCAATAAAAATAATGAGCCATTTTCTTACAAATGACATTAATTATCTATTTTAAGATTCAACGTGTGAGGACAAACCTGATGTTCAGCAGGTTTTAAAGCGTTTGTGAATACAGCGTTTCCTGTATTCACATGCAGTTTTTGCTGCCCCAGGTCACGGTGGATTCATTAAGCCGTTTCCACTGTTACTAGAAAGACGCTTCTGCTAAGAATCCCTGTTGCTGCATTTTTAAATAACAGTACCACAGCTTGTCACAACACATTTTAAAGGTTGCTCTGACAGAAAGCAATAGGTGAGCTTCATTGGCCAATGCTATGTGGTAACTATGAATAATTGGTTCTTGCACATGGAAAACCTCAAACTTAAGTTTTTTTTTTATGATTTCAAAAAGTCAGTAGATGTTGTTTATTTTTATTATTTTACATAAAGAAGTGCAATTTTCTTTGAATTTCCTGTGTTTGACAAACAAACTCCAGATCCCAGCGTTAGTACGTTAAAGCGTTTGGACACAGGAATCTTCCATGCAGTATCATGTTTTTGACTGTTTTAGACTCCAGCCGACATAACTTATCATGTGTCGTGTCAGTGTCATGTTGGACTGTTGGCTAAATAAGACTCACAGCGTATCCTGGTCCATACTTCCTGATCCTTTCCTACTTCCCTGCTGGCTTTTGGGAACACCCTGTTCTCTTCTTGTCATGCGTTTTGTTTGATTTGACGTGCATCGGAAAGGCCACTTTTTTTTCCAGTTCTTCTTTGGTGTTAATTCATTATCTTGTGTTTAAAGTTGGGATTGAAATCAGGACCTCACATTTTAAATCCGGTTTTCTGTAACTTATTGCCATAACAATGATTTTTACAATTTTTCTCAAGCTGTTTAATATAATTAAACAATATTTTTTTATTGGCCAG